TGCTGAGGAACTGCCACAAGAGACGAGCTCTGAGCATTTGCACATACTTTTGGCTTAGGTAAGCCCTGGCTTTCTTTCAGTGGTTTTGGATGCCTATGAAATTTTACTGGAATTGGGAATAAGCACCATTTTGTAACAGAATACTGAATGCTGATAATGAAAAGCAAAGTAAAACAACCTAAACATAACAATTTACTATGTATCTTCCTAGTTTCAAATAAAACAGTTTGTTCTTTTTCCTCCTCTTATCTGATCCCCTTACATTTCTTTAGCAAGCAATGAGTAGGGTGACCTCTCAGTTTGTGCTTACAGCTTCTAAGTTTTTTTTATACCCCGGTTCAGTGTTTCGTGTTGGCTGGCTTTAGGCCTTTCAGTGCAGATAATTCAAAGAGTACAAGGAGCCTTAGGAAAGAGATTTACAAGTAATTTTGGTTGTGTATTTGCAATTAATAAGAAATGTTAATGTAGGGCAAAATACAAGTTTTCAAAAGCAAAGGGATCTCTATGGGCAGCTGACATACTTGAAATAGAAAAGCAGGTTACTGATATGTATGGTAATATTTTGGACTAATATTCACAAAGAAGGAAATTACATCAATTGATATTCAGGGTGAAAAGTCTGTGGTGGGACAAATATGGCCAGGTGTAACGTGTCACCTTGTAATTCACCACTGTAATAATTATTGTAATTTAGCTTCTGTCAGGGTGGTGCTGAAACAGTAACTAAAACAGTCTTACAGACCAGGTTTCCACAGAACTAAAAAAAATCTCCAACACCTCCTCCTACAGCCCTGAGAGCCTGTGCGATATGTCAGAGATGGCCAAAACAGAGATCTTTTACAGGCAATAAAGTTTTTATGTGGCCCATGTGCCACACTCCAGGCACTCTTTCTTTACAGAATGCCTCATAAAAGAACATTCTTTTAATTTGTCTGTGTTGAGAGAGGCTTCAGACTATTCCTGATGTCTTCCTTTAAAGTCAGATAGACTGAAGACATCTGCTGAACACTTTTATCATACTGCTATAATCAGACTAAAAATAAATGGAACAAAGTAATAATCACAGAAACCTTTAAGATTTCAGTCAAATAAAGAGATTTTTCTAGATAATTCACAGATTTTTTCTTTATGCTTTCCAGAGCCAGATTCTGAATCCAAAACTGAGTTATCTTACCTTGAACATGTCTTCAGTGACAACAGAGCCAGAGTAGGTAAAAGGATTTGCAGAGTATCTACAGAAATCCTTAAGAAAGCACCACTCAGCATGCAGTGGTAGGCGACCTAACAGTCACAGCTTTGTACGTTCACTAAAATACCGACATATATTAGAAGGCAACCCATCTTCTACAAATTATTAGCTTATATAGGTCAAAGGTACTCTAGTCTACAGTCACTCACTGGCATAATAATACTCTCTCATCCTGTTACCTCCAGCAGAAGATGACTGAAATCATATGCATGTCCTTTTTCATCAACTACTCCAGTATCTGCAGAAATGCACTGTGCACCACATTTAAAGTAATCATTTTGTGCAGTAACAGAAAGCACAACTACATCATAACAGCTATGAACCCTGGATCTGTTTATTAAATATGTAGTTACTTACAGGAATGTTGATGAAAACAGTATCAAACTCTGATGCTGACAGAAATCTTTTCAATGGCACCATGAAAAACTGCAAGGAAAATAATTTATACATACATCATCTATGTCATTATACTTTCTAGACCGTTACTAAAATACATGTTACTGTTCTTTAAGTAGTATCTTACTTTCTCTATTGATTCCAGAGTTTCAGTGTATTTCTCTTCAGTTTGCTTTATTTCAGCCAGACAACAGCTTCTTATGTCATTCTCAGTATATTTCTGCAATTACAATGGAGTTATTATCAGGCACCTAATGGATAATAAACGTATTTATAACTTTAGAATTAAGCAATTAGGATAACTGCTTCCTGAAATGTTCTAAGTACTGCAGCCTCCAAGGATGATAGCAATAACCAAGAATATTTTACTGTTCAATTAGCTGATGATCTTAAGTGTTTCCCTAAAATTCAGCATCAAAGGAATATTATGAAAAGTTTATGTTTAAATATAAAATGCTGGGCTCCTTGAATGTACTTTGGAAGTTGAAATACAAGGTCACATCTAATTTACACCCAGACTGAAAAATCTTTTTGAAAATACTCAGCAGTTAATAATTTTAATAACTCAGTGGAGTAAATCATGCAAGAAACTTTGCATTGCCATAAATATTGGATTCAGTCTAATCCCTGGACCTATTAACAATTTTTCTTTTAGTTCTCAAGGGAAGCTCTCTCTTCAGATACATCATGTGTATGTCCTCCAATCAGGAAGTGCAATGACCTCTAAGTTCAGCTTTTGCACATGTGTGCATATATCTTCAGTGAGCCTCTGGGTTTTTTTCCATGTAAACCACCAGACTCTTAAGAAATTTAATCAGCACAGGACTCTATAAAATAGTTTACAGGCACCCTTACCGAAGATCAGATTTACAGCATTACAGCTGCAATAACTTGCAAATCTCCTTTCAAACAGAAGAGTAAATAACTGGAACAAGGTATGGAAGCATTCAAGATAAGCAAGACATAAAACATTTGGAGACTTATAGGTCAGCTTGGAGACCTGACACAGTAACTGGACAGACTCTTACAATTAAAAGCAATAACTGATCCAAAAATTTTCTCCAAAATCAACCATAAGCAGTGGCTTAATAAGCAATAGTACTATCACATCCTTTCTGAAGCCTTTTATCAGCTTGTAACATCCTTCTAAGGCATCCTGTAGCATCTCTCTGACTGTATCTTACCTTCTTTTCACACAGTGTAGGGA